AAACAAAAAGAAAGGGATAAGAACTGCCAAAAACATAGGGTAATGAATAAGGTGGTATTCTTCTTTTTCTTTTCCTAAGAATGATGGCCTTCTTAATAGAAAGAAGACGTCATCAATTATAAGTATCACTTAAAACACATTCAAGAACAGCAAAACAAAGTACGAAATTGACATCAAAACACAACTAAATATGCCCAAAATCAATGATATTACCCCCATGAACACTACTGAAGTCATCATCTGAGTCGGACTCCAAAATGCTGTGCGTGTCAAACCATGCTTCTTCTTGACAAAGAACTGTAAGCAAGTAAATATCTCATCATTTTCAAGCTTAAGGTTCAAAACTTTTTCATTATCAAAAGCTTAATCACACAAACTCCAGTTGCTAATACGATGCTTTCAAAAGAGAATATCCCTTTTCCTCATTGCGAACGAAGAAAGGCATCAGAATTAACACAACCACTAATCTATCAAAGGAAAAAAAGGATGTCAAAATGCAAACTTTTAGCAGGATATACTCTTTTGATACCAGTGTCCTAACCGAATGAGACATATGCTGCCCAACAACAAAATAGCAACTCCAGACGTCGAAAAGTACTTATTTTGTCAGATCAAATCGGAATATCATTTTAATGGAGTATACTAAGGTGACATTTCACTTGTCTAGGATATTTCCTTCAAAAGAAGATCAAGTACTTGTCACTTTAAGGATTTAATCCGGTAGGTTTCTCATCACATATGATATCAAGAGATAATAAGGTTCAAAATGAAAAAAAGAGAGTATACCATTAGCATCTATTTGACTATGTTGCCACTGCAACTGAGTAAGATGGAATGTGGAACTAGAGACCTCAGATCTTCCGGAGGTTGTAGTTGTACGAACAAACTCACTAACAGCAATATCTGTCACCCGTGCATCGCTATTTCTTTTCCTGGTTCCTACTAGACCTGAGTTTGAATTCTTTCTATGACGACGATGGTATTTCTTCCTTACCCTGATTGTGCTTGCTGGAGTTGATACACAACCACCCATTATTATGACTCAGCTCACAAATCTCACTGCGAATTGCTGCTGTACCATGCGAAGATGCAAATTCCAAGTTGAACACAAGAAATTAAGTAAGTATACCTGGCACGAGAATAAGAGGAACTGCTACCGTTAATCTCAATAAAAGCTCACAAATTTGTTCATCACACGTTAACAGGACTTGCAAAGAAGTATTCAGAAAAGCCACATATATAAATTGATATTGATTTGGTGGCTCTCAAATCTTATATACTAGAATGAAACTCAAAAAGATGGGACAAAAGCAGCTTTTAACAGGGCTTAAAAGCAGTGAACCTTATAAGACACATTTAAGAATAAGGAATCACCAAGAATATTACTGACATAAAAAGCAAACAAGATGCACAAAGATGGCTAAGTACAAAGAAACTATGAAACAAACTTTAATAATTTCATGTGATTGCAGATTTAAGCAAAAAAGATAAAATTGGAGACATAACTGAAAAGGTGAACATAAAGTAGCAGGATCAAATATGTGATAACTAATAAGCTGCTTTTCCATTTCATTTTTTTATTTTTTTTCTTGTCCTGACTTTATGAATCGTTGATGATGAAAAAGGATGGAATGAACATGACCTTGTTTTCACTTTCAGAGGCTTAATTAGACAAAAGATGTCAGATTATTATAGACATAAGAAAAAGGGAAAAAGGAGAACGAAGAAAATGGGTCCACATTAAGATCATATAAGAAGCAAACAAACAAAAGAATAACAACAAAATTGTTGTTAGTATAACAGAAAAAAGGAATAAAAATAACAATGCAAATGCGTAGGAAAGCAGAAAGGGCCAAAATATGAAGAATGAAAACAACTAAAATAATATTGGAAACAAAGATCAGAACTAAAAACTCACAATACAACAAGCTACTAATCAACAGGTCAGGAAATACCTAGGAAGGAGGATGAAAACGTTATTAAACAAAATTAGAGCCTCGTTCTTTGAGCAATAAAATAAACAATGAACCACGAATTTTCAAAAGAACCCATCATTAAACCCTTCAAAAATTATGACAAAAAAACAATTACTATATCTCAATCTCAAACTAATTATCTTTATCTGGACCTATCTAAGCATGGACGGAGCTAAGGGGCGGAAGGGGCCGGGAAAATTACACTATATAGATAAACAACTTTTTTTCTTATATACTATTAAATGTTAAATCTCTGGCTTCTATTTTCCTTTTTTTGTTTTTTGAATCTCTTGGTGAAAATTTCACCTCCACCATTGTGTTTAAGTACAGAAAAAAAGATTACAAAAGAATGCAGAAAAATGTAAAAGAAGCAAGAAAATAGCAAGGCTAAGTATGATCCGAAAAATGGATACCTTACATAAAAATGCTGACCTGCTCACCACCAGCAACATTTAAGTATTACGTGAAAAAATTATAATGTGGGGTACCTTTTTTTTTTTTTTTTTGTATAGAATGAAGAAAAGATGATTAACAACGAAGAGATGTGAATGTGGGTCTCCCTCTCCTGTAAATGAAGAAGAAGAAAAGCAAAATTCAAGAACCAGAGGGAGAGAGAGGGAGAAAGAGCTAGCGTTTGGGTCCGACGTGTCGGATCCAAGCTCTTTTCCTAAAACTTCTCCTTCTTCAAGCAGCTGTTCTATTTTTCTGGGTGTATTTTTCCTGTTTATATTTGTATGGATTTGACAGAGAGATATATGCCGAGAGAGATTTCAGAATTCAGAAGAAGAAGCAGATGAGGGACAAGAACGTCATTTTATATAATGTCTAAGAGTGCGTGCGTGCGTTTGTTTATTTGATTGATGTAGTCCCGCCTGTCCCCGTCCCTTTCTCTCCCCCACCATCCCCAACCCCCTCTGTCCAGGTATTATTACTGGAATTTGTTTATTAAAAATTATTTTTGTTGTCAAAACAAGACTTCATTTATTTTGCATCCCCCCATAATTTATTGCATGTACATGCAGTTTTAAATCAACTTTAAATATATTTCTGAGAATTTATGCAAAATACCCATACTCCTTTAAAACAAGCTAGTATACTGTATACACCAACATATTTTACTTAAAGTTTTCTTTTTTAGTTAATGACGTCAGTTGTTAGTTTTTTTATGTCACATAATAGTCTTTCTTTCAGTCTCAGGTCCATATAATCGAATAAATTATTTTAAATTAGTAACTGTAATTGCAATGGTATTATTAGTAATTCAAAATGAGGTTAATCTCATCTATAATCGACTAAATTATTTTAAATTAGTAACAGCAATTGCAATGGTATTATTAGTAATTCAAAATGAGGTTGATCTCATATATATATATATATATACACTAGTAGGGATAGCCCGGGTTTCGCCCGGACCCAACATAAACAATCTATATTGTTTCATTACACTATGTTATTACTGATTCTCACCGTAACATTTTGATTTTCTCTTATGAGAGGTCTCACTAATTTTTCAAATTCTTTGTCATGATTTTTTGTAAGTACTAAAGAGAAATATAAAAAATACTACTACTGTAAATAAATATACAGTAACAATATCTGCAAGGACCCAAAAGTAAAGCGCATAAAGTTCTTTATCCTTTGACTTTTAAATTTTAGTTTTCAATATCATATAAGTTCGTCAAAAAGTAGATCGAGCTGAGCGCGTTGTGAACTAAATCATCAGAAAGGACAGACCCTGTATCCAAAATGTGCGAGCCTGGTTGATCTGCACAGAGTTAAAAGGAGTATCCATGAAAATGTTTATGATCGTTATTATTTCGAAAATGAGTTGATAACAGTATTGCTGAAGTAGAATCAAGTGAAACTTTATTAAAATATTAGTAAATGAATAGCATAACGTATGTAAATACAAGTATTGATAATGAGCGAAGGAGCATACCAATTTACATTTGATAACTTTAATGAAATTGGTAAAACTATATCTCAAGAAGGCTAGTACATGCCACCTCTATTAATATTTCCAGATATAAGCCATTTCTTCTCAGGAAAAGCATGTAATTGTATCTCACAAAGAACTCGTCGTATAGAGAACACATACTAACAGGAAAACTCTATCAATATGAGAAGACTATCCATAAGTACGTCAGTCAACATATTCAAAGACCTTTTGCCTAAATCAAGTTAAAATCAGAGGACTCTTAGTTAGGTCTCTTAGTTTACTGGAAATTATACTTTTAACTCCTTTGTTTCGCCTTTCGCCATTCCTTCTTATTTGTACAAGACCTTTTAGTTGGCGAGTTTGTATCTTTGTGTCAAAGGAATAAGCTTTACTAACTGGACCTTTTCAATGCAGTCAAATTCGTCCATAACTTGCATTAATCAAGTGATTTATCAAAAACTCTTCTTATGTGTCTAAACAACAGCAACAACTAGTTTGAGTGTGAACTCCTTGACGGTTTTATATGAGTATGAACTTCAGCTAACAAATGGAGCAATTATAAAGTATCCTACATAACTGATATGTCTTCTTAAGCAGAAAATTTACTTGCCAAATGAAAACATCAAGGCCATTTAACAATTGTCATCTAATCTTTTTTTACAATACAAATGGAAAGAATGCGGGTAAGAAATAACATTTTCTGTATCTTATGCCATAGTTTAATGTCTAGCAAGCCGAAATAGTATCTGAAAATAAAAACACCAACTAACTTTAGTTATGGCCACTAAGAACCACTAAACTTGCAAAGTAGGTAAGGAACCCAAATTGGATGTTTCAAAATTTTGCCCTACAATAATAGCTGCACAATACTTTTTGCAGTCATGCAAAAAAACTAATTATACAAAATAATTTACACAAGCTAGTTACCTAAGATACTATGAGAAGGAAATTCAAAACACTGTTAAGAAATGGAGAGTATGTTGTCCAAATAAGGCCACATGTGCTGAAGAAATTTATTGAGTCAGTCCAGCTTCGGCAACATATAAAGATAATAATTATGTATAATAACTAAGCAACTCTAAAGATGCAGGTTAAACATGTAACTGAATACATACACGGTCATTATCTAGACAATAAACCCAACCAGTAATTTCAGGAAGTAATTACTGCAAGCTTTGAGAATCTTGCTCGACTAATAGATGAATAGCAGGTCTTGATAGAGTAAATGATTTCAAAGGAGTTGATTGTGTAAAATAGAAAATATTATCTCTTCCAATGATAAAAGTGCAGAAGTAAGACATATGGAATATATCAATGAGCAAGAAGGAGACGTAAGTTAAATATGAGCAAAGTTCTAACGTTCTAACAACATGGCTACTAACTGACATATATTAAAGTACTCAACATTTCATACCTTTAAGATAGTAATCAGAAATAGTAGTTTGGTCCTGAGTATTTATTTTAATTTGAGCAATTCATACACTCTTATTTATACCCAACCAGAAAGGCTAACTAAACAACTCAGACTATTCGAATCTTTACTTTGAGACAAAGAACGAAAAAATCAAAGCTCTATAATTTACAGGTTATACATTAAAGATTACAGTCTGATTATCAGTTTATTGAAGCTCAGTGAAGTCAAACTTATAAACCTTCAAACAATAGAGCCGTAATAAAAAAACCAACACGATAGATCAGCAAACTAACTTTTTTAACTATGCGCTTACCTTGAAAGAGCAAAACGGAGTAGTGAAGAACG